GTCAGTATGCAAAAATAAAAAATTTCTCTTGATTTCAAGAATTCTCTGGCTGATCAAACTATTTTGCTGCTTTTGTTGATTCAGGTTTCAGCAAATCCATTTTACAGTCTTTATCAGGAAGAATATGTAAAGAAAGTTATTTTTTCAAGAAACAGCAGGAAATAAGAAATGAGTGCATACCCATGTTGAATCTTCCTGCAAATAATGCAATTTTATTTTGCCTTGTTAGAGATAGCAGCTAATGAACAGCAGTTTTACATAAAAGTGCATATGAAGTGAAGGTGTACAAATAAGTCCCTCCATGCAGAAAAAAATTGCATCAATCGACTCTTGCTGAACATTTACAGAGGTCAAATAGTGGATGCGATCACAATTAGACAGTGGTTAAAACAATGCATATGACAAGTCATTATTATGAGCACAGTATGCAGGTGAAAAATTCATTGTCAAAGATGGTGAATATGTGAAAAAAAAAAAAAAAAAAAAAAAAATATATATATATATATTCCAGAAGTAATATCCAAAATGTGGTAGTGTATAGATATTTTCAGTACTCTAAAACACATGAAAAATAATATATGCTATTGCATATTCAGTTTTAAAACTTCTGCTAATGTTGACACACATCTTCCCTAAATTTACATTGCCTGCTGTTGACATATATATATATATACATTTTCAAGACACCATAGAAATGCCAGTCCCTAGTATTTGTTATAAACCAGCATTTATTCCAGGCCAGCATAGACATATAGTAGCATACAATACAATCTGTCTTGTGACATATTTTTATTATATTGTGTGATGGGGTGTTATTTAGCTTAGTCTGTATTGCAGAGTATCCAAGCAAAGCCAAAATAGCAGCACCCATAAAAAAACTGCTGTCAGCATGTAAAGACTCAGAAAATATATGAAATTTTTTCATATTTTTCTTATAAGAAGCCAGCACAGCCAGGCAACTATATTATAACAATACATTAATGAAAGTGTTAAAGGATAAGTTATAGTGATTGAACTTAGTAACTAATACACCTAAACATGGACAAATCTACAAAGCATATAAATGTCATGCTCTTGGAGTTTAGAAAATGGCATTAATGCTACATAAGCAGCCTGAACTATTCTTGGCATTTATATTGGTTGGTTGATTTTGTATAGTGTCATATCAACCTCTATATTTAATGCCAAAATCTAAATATTTTGAACACAGTTACATGGCTTCAACTAAATATATTTTGAATGCAATTGTATGTCTTCAACTACAGATAAAATGTATTGTTAGTAATTCTACTATAAAATGTATTGTTGGTCATTTTAAATTAATTTTTATACTTCTATAGTATTGTTTTTTTTTGGGGGGGGTCACTATTTGCCAATAGCTGGGACCAGCAGCAATTAAGAGGTGTTTCCATGCTCCTCAAAATCTCCAATTTCCTGATCAGTGACCTTGCTGCCAGATGTAGTTTATTGCCATATCTTCGATTAGGCATTTATGTAACATTCTTTGGGGTGATCTACTTTAAGGTGCTATCAGTCAATGTTAATAATATAGCAGTAAATATCTATTGGCAGCAGTTTGAGAATTAAACTACAAGATAATCATTAAGGCTTTGAGTGGCTAATTTTGTTTTGTAACATGATAGTTAATTAAGCTTTGATTAAAATTTAAAAAAAAAAAAAATGAACTTTTCTTTAAGGCTCAACTTCATCAGTCCCATGATTAAGTGGCGTCATAGAGTCCCTACATAGCTTAACCAGATCCCTTCACTTATCTGGGTTGAGAAATATAGACCAGTTCATTTATGTTGTGAGCAAGTAGACCTGGCAGAGCCCATCACACTCCAGGTCAAATCAAAATGATGTCCTCTAACTTGAAGGCTCACCTTGGGCATGGATACATGGCCATTGACTCCATCAGAGAACACACCACACTTCAGTCTAAGAAGCCCTCTGCCCCACAATGTCACAAATGCAATGGCTGTATATATAGCTATGGAGCCCAGTCTACTACATTGTGCTAGATGGCCGCTGACCCTACAAGGGGGTTCATCTGCTCTTTGACAGGTCTTGTTTTTAATACTGTTGGAGGTCGATCCACCCACCTCACTAGAAATGCCTGGTGGAGGAAATGGCTTATTCACTGATGACCTGACCATACAGCAGATAATATTGGGTTACATGGTAGTAGATAGAGTCACCTGTCATAAGGCTCTGTAAAGTGAGTTCTTCCAATTCCACATGGAATGATGGCATGTATCAGAAATGTAGACTTTCACTGAGGAGCAAATCACTTGCAAGAGAAAGAAAGAGTTCAAGACAGAAAAAGTATCGGGCAAGAAAAATTATCTGGAAATTGATGAATGGAGCAAACTCCAATTGAGACTATATCTATTACTTTCACACAGTTAAACAAAAAAAAAAGAAAAAAAAAGGCATGAAACCAAGATCTTTTCACTGGCATTGTTTTTAACACTATTGTTCACTCAATACAAACCACAAGATCCACTTAAGGTAGAGGTTTACTGAATGTAAGGATTGTAGATTATGTAGGATATGTAAGAGTTTACCCTCAAGTTTAAGAGGTTAATATTGTAGTGGTTGAGGAAGCATCTTGGGAATTTGTTTGGAAAGTAGAAGTTTCAATAAAACTTCCTCCTTATTAATGGAATATGATGGGAATGAGGATGGTTTACTCCTGTGTAAATGGCATGATGGAGGCCTGAACTGGTGAATCTATGGAATGTCTCATCAGAACATTTCCCATGAAAATAAAGCCAGAGCAGTGACAGGCTTGTGACGTTACGTCTGTAGGAAAGGAGCTTTTAGATGAAAAATAATTCATCACCTACAAGGTTGTATAAATACTGAAGTTTGCTGAGGCTGGAGAGAGAGGATTACTACAAAATTAGAGTAACAGAGGATGATCTGATCTTCTATAATTGCCTCCTGTGCTTAGATCAGATGTGGATAAACTATTCTGAGGTCCACTGATGATTTTATATGGCCTGCAAGAACACCACAAACATTTTTAAATATTTGTTACAAATATTTTTTTTTTATTTTTTGGTTACATGTTGTACAAAATGTTAATCTATTCAAAACAGGAACAAAAAGAACAAAGATGGAAACCATATTGAATAACAAATCTGAGTTCTCAGGAAACTCATTTCCTATGAAATCAACATGCTAAAGTTTTACTACCACAGGCATCTGGGTTTCTATGTCCCCACACTATACTGATTTCAATACTCATTCATCAGCACAGTGTAAACTGAAGTAGGGATCTAGGTGCCTCTGTGTACTCCAACTGGAGATAAACCTACAACATCCTTGCTGAGCTTTATTATAAATGCCTCGTGATTTATTAAGAACTAGCAGTAGAGCCCGGCGTTTCCTGGGGATGTAACAGTAAGAGATAGATCAAGTATCGACCATCATAAAGACTGAAAAATAAAATTGACAAAGATTATTGTTTAAGGTTGATGGACACGCATTTCTTAATTAGTTTTTTTTGTTTTTGTTTTTACGAATTGGTGAAAACCCAAACTCAAACAAAAACATTGTTTTCAATCGTTATGAGTCTATCGATTGAATAGAATTTTATTATAAACAATTGTCTTGTAAATGGAATTTTTAAAGCATTCTGAATGTAAAAATAAAGAAAAAAGTGTGCAAGACAATAAGAAACACTACCTGCCAAAAAAAGTGAAGTTTTGTTGAAATCGGTTGAAAAATGTAGGAAATCCGATCCCATATATAAATGAACACACACAAACAAACAGCCTGGGTTTTATAATAAGTATAACTCGAATTGAGTTGTCCCCCTTTCATTCTCATGATGCCTCTTAATCGTGTTTCCTAATTGATTTTGTGCAAAAACAATTGTGTTTTTCCAATTTTTGGCGCTGTCAGAACAACAGGAAGATAATTTTTTGTAGTCCTGTGAAGTTTTGTTGAAATCAGTTGAAAAAAGTAAGAAATCCGATCCAATATATAAACGTACAGACACACACACACAATTTGTGTTTTATAATAAGTATAATTTCATATTATTATTGTTAAACAATTTTTTCTTGGCTGTACAGATATCATTAATAGTAGCAAAAGTATTAAAATTCTCATACATTTGTGCAGCCTGTTCACAAAATGCTAGAAATGAATAAATATACAAATAACATATACATATATGATTGTTATTTACAATATCACAGTAGAATTGTAATTGTGAAACGGCCCACTTTACACAGGGTTAACAATGATGTGACCCGCCATGAGAAAAAGTTTGCCCAACCTTGGCTTAGATATTGTTATCAAAAATTGTTATAGATGAATTTATGAAAGAGGCTGGCTTATTTGCATCTTACTTCATCAATGCAGAGCAAATAATACTATTCTCTACTCTCCTGACTGACAGTAAAATTGAATGATTAATTTTTTTTTTTTTTTTTACTACTGTTTCATCAGGAAGAGACAGCTGAGATTTGTTGAATACATAATGTAGAAAGAGGGCTTGGAAATTTTGATACTCACAAGACAGTGAAGGCAAGAGAGAAAACAAGGCAAAAACTATATGGAAAGCTTGAGTGAATGGATGGCAGAGCAGGGTATCGGAGAAACAGCAAAAGACAAAATTTATTAAGAGCCACAAGAGGCAGGAAATTGTGGAGAGCCATGAATACCAACATCCTGAAAGGACGCAGCACATAAAAGATTAATCCTTGGTGGGTTATTTAAAGTTGAAACAGATTTTTGCTTGAAAGGATAATTCTTTTTTTTTGTAACTGATTGATTTTTTACAGCTTATCAACCCTTTGCAGGTTATTTAAAGCCAGAAAATATTTTTTGATTCTAAGATTTTTTTTTTTTTGAAGATAATGATTTAGCTGAAAGGAGAAGTGGATTCATATCTTTTCCCAAGGGTATTTGCACATAAGTGAATATAACAAACCCAACTGGAATTGAAAATCTGCTCTCCAATTAACAACTCTACAGACCCAATCTTACAGCACCTGGTATTCCCAAGGGGTTATCCATCAAGTTACTAACCAGGCTCAACATTGCATAACTTTGGTGATCATATAGGAATCAGTGTTCCAACATGATGTAGCCA